CAGATCTTTCCGGACGTCTTCAATGACCTTTTTGCCTTTCGGCGACAAGACGAGACCGACGTCGAGCGCGTCGACGTGCGGCGGCACCGACGATGACGCGTCCTCATGGTACTCGCCCGCGATGACGCGAAGGCGGCCCACGAGCTGGAGATCGGGCTTGACGCTCTCGTACGACGGCGCGTTCGCGACGGGAAAGTCGCGCTGCTCGATGCGTAGCGGCTTGTGCTCGTGCCACGCACTTTAAGAACGCGACGGGCGGGAGCGTCTGCCGCTGAAGGGCGAGGAACTCGTCGGCCCACGCGATCTGCTGGACCTGGCGAGAGAGCTCGAGCTCTTCGCAGCGAAGGACGCGGAGCTTGGCGCTGGTCTCAGCCTCGAGCGTGGCCAAGGCTGCGTCGAGTGTACTTCGAAGCAGCATCTCGACAGCATCGCGGTTGCGCTTGACGTCGTTGGCGCGCTCGGTGATGTGTCCGAGCCTCGTTCCAATGAGCATTTTGCGCGACTCGACAAGCGGGTCGACTTTGTTGGACTCTTTCAAGCTCTGCTCGTACGCGTCCGGGATGCTAATGAGGCGATGGAGCCCCTTCTCACCGCACGAGTGGTCGCCGACCATCTTGCAATTGACACAGACGGGGACGGCGCAGACGGGGCAGTAAAACTCGACGTGTTTGGTGTCGTGCTACGAACACCTTTGTGAACGACCGTACTACTATATCGTAGACGTACGAGACGGCAGGGCACGGGTGGCACAAGCGCGTTCTGACCCACGTACGTCGTCGGTCGCGCAGCGTCAATCGTCAGTGGTGTGCGCGCGTGTCGGCTCATGAGCTTGTTGGCGGCGTGCGTGTCGTGGTCGCAGGCCGCGCAGAGCTCGGCTTCGCAGCAACGGCACGCGACAGCGGCGGGAAGCAGCTCGCAGAGCGCGCAGAGACGCTGGCGCAGCTTGGGATCCATCCATTGGTACCCAAAGCGCACAAGGTATTGGGGCAAGATCTAGTCGATACCACCGTTGTAGAGAATGCGTATTTCATGCTGGAAGGCACACCTGTTGCGTGTTGGTCACAATGTACTCGTGGCAGTAGCCCGTGGTGCGAGGCGTCTTGGGCACAATGTAGTAGCTGTCGTAGCCGGGCGGCAGCGGCTGCGCGGCCATCGCCTCGTCCTCAATGACCATGGACCGTCCGGTGGCGACCTTGCAGAGCACATATTGCTTTTTGCCTACGCAAGATGCGCGTCGACGAAAAATATCGAAATACTACTTTCAAGTACCCTTTTTTCCCGGTTGGTCCATCGTGATGTTGCCGGTCGTGAGCTTCATCGCATGCGACGCTTCGTGGGGCGCGTGGAAGCCGTATGAGTACACTTGCTCAATCGACGGCCCGAGGTCCTCGACCGCGACCCACGAGTCGAGCTCGAGCAAGCCACCGGTCGCTTGCTCGTACTGCGCCGAGAGCGCCGGATTTTGCATGTCCCAGATCATTACGTCGTCGTCGGGCACGCGGTACCCGGGCAGCGACGCCTGCAAGAGGTACCGGACGCGCTGGAACTCCTTTGTGAGCGGGTTCAAGGCCGTGACCGTCGCAACTAAGAACTTACGTTTGAGTCACCTTTTGGCGACTACTACAATGGTAGCTACCCGAGTCGGACGAGGGCGACGCGAGCGTCTGACGCCGCGGGCTCTCGGGGCGGTCCGTCGGAGGTGCACCCTGCGCTTCGTCGTCGTCGTCTGGTGGCGGCGGCGGCACCGCATGGGGCGCGAGGAAGAGGCGCAGTCGCGACAGCGAGACGTTCGGACCGGACGCCATGATCTTCTCGACGAATGCAATAGGTTTCGAAACGGAAACGAGCCGTCACACACTGTATGAGACAATGTCTGATACAGTGTCTTGACCGTAAACGCTGCATTGTCAACGCGTCTGAGAGCATGATCGAACGCTGGCTCCAAAGACTCGTGCGGCGTCTTGGCGTACGACCACATTTTGTGTCTAGTACCGTTCTCGAGCCAAGGGTGGAAGGGTGGTGGACGATCGTCTATCCGAATTTTGCATTTTCACCAACGGACCCCTGAACAGACCCCATGAAGAGACCCATGGCCGGGCCGGCAGATGAGCGATGGAAACGACGTCGTTCATCTGGTCGTTCATTATGGCTCCGACGTCTGCCTGCAGCGATGTACTATTGTCTCTGTACTATTGCGTGGCGATCGCGGCAGAGGGTGGTGCGTGACACGGAGCAGCTGCGGGGCAATCTGGTGTCGGTCTTCTACGCTGTCATTTTTGGACGCGGCTCGTTCCCATTTATACTGCCCATGACGGGCGTGCGCTACGGTACACGATGCGCTCTCGTTCCAGCCTTTTCCTTTAGCATGTCGTCTAGATGTCAAGGCGATGGAGATGCAGCTGCCGCCCGTCTCGAACGCGTTCCACTGCTCGGCGTACAAGATGGCCATGAGCCACCGCCGCGAGAAGAACTCGCTCTTCCAGCGGTCGCTCATCGGCATGGACGGCCTGTATGAAGTCACGTTCTACGAGCGGGACCTTGGCCTCCGCCTCGACGTCAACGCCAACGGAGACATCACTGTGCACACGATCAAGGTGACGCCGGCGCTGCCACCCAAGTCGACCCGCAGCGTGGCGACGACGCCGCGACCGCCAACGTCGAACGCCGACCTCCTCGTGCCTGGCGACATTCTTGTCTCGGTCGGCTGCATCGGTGTCCGCCACAGTGACAAGGTGTCGCTGACCGAAGTCGCCGAGCTCATCCAGGTGCAAGCCCGGCCGATTCGGCTCGTCTTCGAGTCGCAGGTCGCGCGTGCGCTCCAGGTCCAGCTCCGAGACACGCTTAGTCGGCTCGTGTTTTCGCCGCTGCTGGCGGCGCACTTTGACGTCGGCGCGTCGACGCGCGACCTCGTCTTCCAGACGTCGCTCGAGATGGTCGTCGACTTCAGCTACAGTCTCTACGCGTGGTTCGACCCGCTCCGTGTCGTGCACGTCATCCTCTTTGATGACGTACTCCTCGTCACCGAGGCCAGAGACAAGGGCAAGCCGCGCTCCAAGCTCGTGGTCAAGCACCTCTTTCCGCTGCAGCTGCTCCACGTGCGCGACCTCATGGCGTCGACCGACTACATCCCGTCGAGCCTCGAGCTCGTGCACCCGAGCAAGACGTTCACGTTTATTGCGCGCGACGAACGCGCCAAGAAGGAAGCCCTCGACGCGTTCGGGATGGCACTCGCGCTTGCGTCCAACGCCAACCCGAGCGCGCGCGGGTGGCAGTACCAGTTTGCCACCGGCTCGGTGCACCAGTGTGCTCTCCGAGGCAACCTCAAGGGCATCGAGCTCCTCGCCTCGCGCTGCGCTGACCTCGACGAACAGGACGTCAACGGGTGGACTGCCCTCTTTTACGCGGCGGTGCGCAACCACGTCAAGGTCGTCCGACTGCTCGCGCGTCTCGGCGCCAACGTGAACGTCGTCGATGAGTTTGGTCTCGGCGCGCTCCATTATGCGTGCTTGTACCAGTGCCCGTCGAGCGTCGACGCCCTTCTCGACGCCGGCGCCATGGCCGAGGCCCGCGATGTGTACGGTCGAAGCCCGCTCTTCCTCTGCGCCATCAACGAAGACCCGCTGCTTTGCGCACCGCTGCCGGTGGACGTGCGGGCCATGAGGCTGTGCATGGAGCTGCTGATCACGGCGGGCGCGGCGCTCGAGACAACCGACAACGAAGGTCTCTCGGCCCTCGAGCACAATCTGTGCGTCAACGTGGCCAAGTGCCGCGTCCTCCTTGACGTCGGCATGCGCCTCGATACGCTCTACGAAGGGGCCAACAGCATCTTGCACTTGGCCTGCGACAGCGGTAGCATGGCGGTCAACTACGACTTGCTTTCGCTGCTGCTCGAGTACGGCGCGCAGCCGAACGCGGTCAATGCCGATGGGAATACGCCGCTGCACCTGCTGTGCCTCCAGTACATCTGCGACCGAGACGCCGCGCAGTTTCAAGTGGACGCTATCGTCTTGCGCGCAATGGAGCTGCTGGTCGCGCATGGCGCGCGGTTCAACTTGATGAATGCCAATGGCACCAGCGTCGAAATGCTCCTTGAGGCGCACCAGATTCCGATCAGCATCGGCAAGGCGCTCGTGCTCTGGCAGAGCAAGCGGCGGATTCTGGCGTCGCCGCGCGTACTCTCGCGCGCCGACGGGCCCAAGCAAGAGCAGATCGTTTTGCTGCAGATGCCAACGGCGCCGACACCGCCGACCAAGTGCGGCATCTGCCACTGGCAGTGCGAGTGGACGCCGTCGTCGACGTTCTTTGAGGCGACCGGATCGTCGCCGTTGTGGGACGCACCGAGCACGCGCCTCGTCGGGCTCTACAACTGCTCCGTGTGCTTGACGCCGGTCTGCGGTCTCTGCTCGCTCAAGCACCTCGGCGTGTACCACGTGCACACGTCTACGTACCTCGACTTGCCACCGTCGCTGCAGACCAAGCCCGTCTGTGACGGCTGCTACAACTTTGCCTTTTACGACTTGGCGCGAGAAGTGGCGGCGTCGACGACCGAGATGCCGCCGCTCTCGTCGCGCCGCCGACCGCGCACGCGATCGCTCCAAGGTCTCCGCCTCTTGTAGCCGTGTCACAAAGAAGCATCCTCTCGCTTTGTTTCATATCCAACTCACTGGACCAGAAAGTCTGAAATTATACACTAGAAATCTGGACAAAACTCGAATTCTGGTCGCCGAGCCCAGTGCTTAAGCATACTTGACGTGCGGTGGCGGGTCGGCTTCAACGAGGCGGCGCAGGCGACTGTGGAGGTCGCCGTCGAGGAACCCGACGAGCCGCCGCGCGCAGTGCAGCCCGTCCTTGTTGGCGCTGCCAAAATCCGCCTTGTGCCACTCGCAGATCTTGGGCAATGTGATGACGCGCGCGTCGTCATCGACGCGGATCGCGTCCTGGAGGTAGCGGCTCATGGCCGCGTTGAGCTGCTCGTGGATAAACTCGCTGTCAAAGAACGTGACGAGTGGCTCGAGCACATGCAGGACGAACGAGACGCGGAAATCCGGGTGCTGGACACCGTGCGAGGCTTGAAGCGCGCGCATGCTACCAGCGACCGTCTTGTGCCACGGCGGCACCAAGACGGACGGCGGCAATTTGGCCCGCAAAATCGCATGCTCGATATCCGCCAGCGACAACTCGAGCGGCCCGATCGCATAGCACACACGTCGGCTGAACGGCAGCCACTGTTTCGGCGGCCCAAACGCGACCTTGGCGTGCCACAGAAGCGCTTGGTAGACGTTGAGGTAAAAGCACAGCCGGTCTTCGTATCGCTCCAGGCGACACAACTGCACGCGGCGCAGCGCACACGTGGCACTTAGAAAGTCCGACACCTTGTCGGCGAGCGTCGCCGCGTCCTTTCGAACCACGATGCTGTCGTCGAGGAGCATGTTGAGCTTGATCGCGGCCTCGAGGACGCTCTCGATCGCGGTCGTCGGGT